ATCGAATAAACGAGGGTATAAACTTTGAAATACGATTATTTTCCTTCAATATTATATTTCAAAATTACGCTAAAGTTCTTTTTTCAAATTCAATTTTACACCATTTAATTCATCATCGAGAATGTTATAAGAACACGTATTTTAAAAATTGTATCTAAAAAATTACTTCCAATTGATTTCCACACGAGTGACCCCTTAAAACGTAACGAATTGTTGCACCCTGTATATTTTATATACCGGATCGAGTATTCTTTATTATTAACTAGCGTCATATATTATGCTATTATGCTATACTGATATGACTGTTAAATAAAAATGATTTAAACATACCGAGATTTTGAATTAACATTTTCTACTGGTCCATGCATCATGTCATTATCTATTAAATGCTATGAAAGATTTGAGTGGGAAACTTTTTTTGCATGTCTAACAGTCATATAGATTGGATCAGAAGGGTGAAACTCTGGAGTGTTACTTGATCTTTTAAACTTGAGTTACTGCAGTTAGGATATACGTAATATCTTAACTTTTACTTTTTATTACTTTTCCTGCAAGTTTATAAAGTTCAGACATCTCACGCTTGTAATTGCATAAAAAACATATACATTAAACGTTCTAGAAACGAAATCAGATATTACAGCAATACTTTCATTGCGAATTGGGACTTTGAATTTCGCAAAACTCTGTCTACGAAAGAGAAGAAAAATGGTGGACGGAAAATGTCGAGCGTCCTATAAAGTTACCCGCATCTTCGTTAAAAGTGGCAACGTTTTCGCAGCCTTTGTCGCGGCTACCTTTTTCTAGACGAGCGTATTTTACTTGCCGAAGGTCCTTCAATTTGCTTTGCATAATTGAGAAGGTGCCTCGAGGTGCACTAATGAACTCGTGACCCGATGGCAAGGCGAGTAATCGTCTTTGAGACGTCGGTGAACCGTAAAATCAATTAAACGATTTGTTACGGATAAACTTTCTCTTCCTGCGACTTAATGAATATGTCGGAAGTCGGTCGATTGAATATTCACGAATCACGGTACCCCTTGAAACGGAATCCTTTAACTTGAATTGGCCCATTAATCGATGGCAGAATTGAGTTAATTTCGATTGATGTAGGGAACAATTGAGGTATTTCTCCGGGATTTCGTTCGCAGTCGACTAGCAAGTACCGTGGACGGTTACGTAAGCTATTTATTTGTGTAGAAATTTGTTAAACAAGGAGAAAAATATTACATTCCATTAAGCTTATTTTTAATAACAGGATCGAATCCTGGATAGAGTTAGATATTAGATAATAGAAGTTTCATTCTGGTGTTCTTTCGATTAGCGTCATAATAAAATATTAAAGACAGCCGACTCGTGCCGCATCAGATAGACGACCTGTACGGTTGATTGTAATATTGCAAAAATCAGATCTGCTCCAAATAAAAATATATTCAGAAAGAGCAATCCCTCTCGATTAAAATGAAAAAAAGAACAGGTCGATGGGTTGAATAGTTCCAAAGAAGAAAATTCAAATGTACAATCCATTTTCACGAAAATGTGTAAAAATCGCAATATTTGAAGGCTTGTATTACTTAAACGGTTACAAAACGAGCAAAATTTATTTTGTAGGCTATAGAAAATAAATCACACTTTCATTTAAATTTCCATTCTTTTTCCTGGCCCTGGCGACATTTGACTGAGTACACGTGCGAACGTTAAATTGTTAAGACAGAACATATTTTACCGTCGTTCAAAACACAATTGATTCGACACCTGTTCCGATATCTTCGCGTATCGAAGAAAGAACCGCTGTAACAAGCTCAAATAATGAACTCTAGCGACACGACAACTTGACAAAAATGATCTATCACAGATACAAAATACAGCAGTTCATACCAATAAATAAATACAATCTACATTTAATTACAACGTGGTCTAATTTTTAACCCAGTTTAACCACAAACGACGCGACATCACGAACAAGATCATTCCTCCAACTGTCCCTCAAAAATCTCCTCCTTGTTCCTGACGATCCTATTGTAAATCGAAACTTCCAAAACCTTCAATAGAGTCAGTCAGCTCATATCGACACATCTAAGACGATTGAAATACAAGACCATTTACATCGCGAAACAATGATGAATGGGCACGCGCCGCAGTCGTAATGGACGGCTCGTATTTCTGAAGGAGCAGGGCCCCCGATCGTCGGCCAGATATCGCTACGCGCCTGGTCTGGTTTCGTTGCGGAATAAATCGCCAGTCGTAGGGCGACCGCGGAGATTTATTGCGGAATTATGAAGAATGATCCCACGATACGTGGCGAGGCTTTCCTTCGGTGGCGATAAATCGGCCGTGGTTTTTGATATTTCGTCGAACGGCGTCGATAGGGCTTTTCAAACCCCCGTCCCTGCGTTTCATGGATCTTACGTGCCCGGTAGTCGTTTCCTGTTTGTCGATCCGAAAAGCGACACGAAAGAAAACCGCCACGCTTTTCTACGCTCGGTGCTATTCTCTTAATTTATTGTTGTTAAAATATGTGCTTGTGGCTCAAGAAAATTAAAGTATTTAACACTTGTATCATTTAGATACTATTAATATTAGTATATTTGTATTGAACATTATTAGACAGTATTGGATTGCATTGATATTTTACGATACATAGAAGACCTTTCTGTCTTCGCGTCTACACACGCTTCTTCTTGAATTTGCCTTCAACGTCATACCAAGGTCGTTGAATTCGTCTTGACACGGATTATAATAAATAAATTTTGTGTATAGCTAATATATATAGCCAATCGAGAACTGATCAACATTTATTTAAAATATTTTTTTATCGGATTATCGCAAGTAATTGAAATTCTGAGTATACGGCACTTCAGCTATTGATGTCGAAACGACATTTAGTTAAAGATTCTAGAACCATTGGACGCAAAAAGACTCCTACCTTAACCCTGAAAAATAACCTCTTCTCGTCCACGTACCATAAACGTACCAATAAACTTTCCACGTTCTACGTTCTTTACAATGGGACAGTAGCTACAATCGAATATAGCTACAGCTTGAGGCCCAAGTCATATACAGAACTTTCAAAAAGTAACAGATTCGATCTTTAAAAGGAGAAGATCAAACCTGAAGTTTACAGAAAACCAGAAATTTTTGAACCCTGAAATTTGTGTCGAGTCACTTTGTTCAATAATGCATAGATTCCAAGATAAAGAGTGAGTCCGTTACTTTTTAAAAGCCGAAATAAAATCTTGGCGAACGTATCTACAAAAATTCAACCTGAATAGGAATTCATTTTACTCTGCAAATATTACAATACGAACTTTACTCTCAATATTTTTTTATATTCTTGCATACTGTGCGCATTTTGCAGTTTCTTGCGCATTCAAATTCCCTGTAAATGCATAAAAATCCGCGGTCTAATAACAAGTTAATCGTCGTCGAAGAAAGAATTTTCCCGGCCAATTAAATCACCAAACGTGCGGAGACCATCCGTCGCTAAACGCGCAACCCCGCGCTCAAGAAATTAGTCGCGCCACGATTAAGTTAACCGTGGAACATATATCCCGCTGCTTCAACGGGGACGGCGAAATTACTTTCTCCGTGTCAACGGAAAGTAATTTGTGCAATCTGTTAACAAGAAGTTGCAATAACGCCCCATTACTCCGACCCGAAACATATTAATGGAGTTGTTCCTCCCAGGTTTCCGCGAGCGTAGACTCGGTAATACGAATAAGACGCTGGGTATATTTTCGCTGTATTATATTATCCTACGGGGCGAACCTTGGAAAATCCTTGAATATTTCATTTGAACCGCGCGCGTTTCTCGCGAACGGAGATCTCTTCCACGCGGTGAAATACGATGTTTGGTGTAACTCGAACCAAACGTACTACCGTGTAGTGTAATTAAATACTAACAAAGTAACGAGAGTTCAGTTCTGAGGAATACACCGTTGGAGCTTGCTCGAAATTATCTCCTGTTTTTCGAGGCAACCCCCTGGGCACAACGTTAGAATGTTACCCTTTGGAATATGCGTTCATGCTAACCACTTTTAGGCCAGTTGTATGTTTAACCACTCGGCTGTGTTGGACGAGTATACTCGTCATGGAGAAATGGCAGTATTTCGTACCATAGCGAGTATACTTGTCATGGGTAAAATTTAGTTAGTTTAGTGAGAAAAGGAGAAAAGGGATGGAAATAATCATAATCAAAATTGCATACGAAAATGTGTTTCCAAAATCAAACTGAAACTAAGCTCGAACAAAGATTCAGAAAGAATATATAGCTGCGGTGGCACCTCTTGTCCTCGCCACTAGAAGGACGGATGCCGCGAGTCTTCTCACAAGCGCTTGGTCTCACCTAATCGTACGTAGGGTTCAAACTTCAAACTTCAAAAACGTAAAATAATTTCGCCAAGTACACGAAAAAGTGGAGGACTCAAGGAGTTATCATTGAAAAATAGAAGATCCCCATGAAAAACTGCAAGAAAGTATAAGTAATTTTTGTCTCTAATTTATATTTCATCCTCTAATTAGTTGTATGTATATAAATGCATTGATCTTGCTAGTTTTAGTGTCAATAAATCCATAACACTAAATTTGAATTTCCCATGATTACTTCCTTCTAAAACACACGTTCCTGAAAATGAGTTATTTCAACCTCCAATAACCCGACAGAGTATTAATTTTTGTCTCTAATTTATATTTCATCCTCTAATTAGTTGTATGTATATAAATGCATTGATCTTGCTAGTTTTAGTTTCAATAAATACATAACACTAAATTTGAATTTCCCATGATTACTTCCCTCTAAAACGTTCCTGAAAACGCGTCATTTCAACCTCCAACGACTCGAAAACCTATTCCAAAGTCCTGTATCGACTTTCTCGTCCTTAACTGCGCATGTTTTTTCAATTTGTCGGCCAATCTGTATTCTAAATAAATAAAGTTCTGAAACAATCTACCGGGAAATGTTTCTGAAAATTGTGGGTGTAGGTATTTAGGAAAATCGGACTCACCATGGATCTCGCGGGTCCGGCAGTGTTCTGTGAACGGAAATCAGGTCGCTGACGTACTGATTGAACGCGTTGTTAAGCCATCCGTCGTCGACAAGTTTTTTAATTTCGGCAGTCATGTTTGTTGGTAGAATAACAGGCCTTCCATTCTCGCCAGGCGCGCTGGAGTCCTGGTCACGAGGAGCAGCGAGCACGCCACCGCCTGGAAAAAAGAGAAACAGGAAATATATATTACCGAGAACGATTTCCTACAAAGAATTTTCTTACACAACTCACGGTTGTAACTTTCGAACATTTATTATTAAGTGAACAATGTTGAGAATCAAATATTTCCAAACCTACTTTCAATATTAATTTCTCTACATTATCATTCTCTGTATATTAAATCATCCGAATATTATCCTTAGCATAAGAAATTTTCGTTTCAAAAATTTATAGGATTTTCTTAATATTTCAAAATGTTTTTTCACAATTTCATTTTAATAAAGTTCATTTCAATTTATTTTGATCTTTGTCACTCTTTTGGTTAGACTAAATTTATGTAAACAATATAGATGATATTCATCAGAATTATTGCTTAAATATGAAGAATAATGTTCATGGTCCAATCTGCATTATTTCATATTTAAATTCAAGCAATAGTTACCTTTTGTTTCAACAAAATAATTGAATAGAAAACGATTCACTTATGACGCCATGACATAAACAAAATGTCAAAATTTACGATGAATTTAAATTACGAATATCATTGAATGCACAGTCGCATATGATACTATTATCGCGTTGGTTGGAAGACTAATTCACATGGAAATGTGTATAGGGCTAAAAGTTTGTCCCGAGACAATTGGAAAACACGGAATTTAACACTTTTCGTATTACTTATTTTTCTATTCTCTGTAAAATTTACGAATTCTATCCAGATTAGTTTTCATTAACACTTAGCCCTTAAAATTAATTGTTGCAATTCCTTAGTGAAAAGCTTCTTCTCCTATATCGTATGAGCAACCCGGCGTTCAACGTGATAATATAGGAAAATTGAATTTTTAATTCAATATATTTTTTAAAACTCTTTCTTTATTCTGTTAACATTTTAAATTTTTTCTGAAATAACCTGTCGTTTCCTTTTTAATTTTAAAATAGTTACAATTTTTGCTATTTTGCTGGGAAGTTTAAAATTTGAATGGAAGTAGTGCAGAAAAGTCAGCTACGTTTGCAATGCATTCAGTGAAGACTCCATCATCGATGAAGTCAATCGATTTTAGGTCTGGCGTTACAAGTCGGGTGATGAAAAGCTCGAACATAAAAGCATCAGGGTCGTCCACCAGCCTTTGAAAAGGCCAAATTGCGTGAGTGCTAGAAGCGAAGTCCGTGTGTAAACGTTTCCCAAATGTTGATTCATTGCAACCGACTTTCTCGTTGAATTCTTTTGCATGTTGCAGATGTATTTGACTTCGACCACTCACGCAATTGGTCAGTTTCAATGGCCAGTAGAGAACTCTGATGCACTTCATTTTTTGACTCGCGCATCGAGTTGCCACGAACTTTGAAATCTGTATAAATCCAAATGATATTACATCTAAATAATTGGATAAAAAATTAACAAATGCATTCAGTTGCTTTTTGTCTAGCCCGTTTATTTCCGACATTTTGACTGCCATATTCAATTTTATAGCGAAACTATGGGATCGTTTAGATCGAAAAGTTCAGAAAGAATATTCAATATACCAAAAACATGTATGGCATAAATATTACAAAATAAGTGAGATAATTACTTCGGCTACAATGAAAAAATTAATAGTATCCACGTTTGGTAAAAGAAATTTTAACATTACCTAGTTATCTCTATAGTTCTTCATCCTTACTAATGTGATATTAAAAAAAAAACTATTAATCAAATATATTCGCTAATTCAACATAAACATATCAACACATAAATGATATAATTGGCATTAATAGATCCGCAACTTTTATTAGATATTTATTTCTATCAAGGAAATGTCCACGTACTTTTCAGCGGGGTTATACATTGATAAATACCAAACAATTCTGTCCCACAAGATTGTTGAAAATTAATACTACCCTGTACAAATTGAAAAGAGTATCGACGAATATTATACAAATTGTCTGCAGTACCTACTTACTCATTTAAAAATGATTTGCAAAAAATCCAATACGCGACTAAAAATTAATATTAACACCGTTATCATCGTATAACTTTCGAACCTTCGCCAGGAATACCGAGTATATTAAATGGGATCTCGAAAAAAACATTCCCCGCCGTCGGAAACCTCAAGTACCCAGCGTGCATACATTTGAACGGGCAGAAACTTCGTTCCGCCTTCGATTTTCTAATAAAATTGTCCTTCAAGCCCAGCCTAGCGTTCTCAAAGAAACCGGAAATGCGATGGAACTCGACGCAGGAAGCGAACGACGCCGAAGAGCAGTCGATGCGCGCACGAGGAAACGCACGAGTGGGGTGAATGGGGGTAAGAAGATGGCGCGAATTGAATTTTTAGAACGTTCACATATCCAAGGGGCGGCAGTTCCCGTTCTAAGAGCTTTTCCGCATAAACTCGAGTTTTATTTTCCAGCGCCATATTGGCGAAGCATAGGTAGAGCCTAGACGGTAAGTGGGCCGGTACGATACGGCTGGCTGGCGCGACTTCGCCCAGTTTTCTCGCCGTCTTGGCTCGTCCTAAAAATAATTTTACCCCGGTCGACGAAGTTGGGCCCGGGCGTGTACGGGTGCAGCAATAAAGAGGACGACAAATTGCTTTAGTGCCGACCTGGTCGCTGCGAACTTCGCCGCAGTGAAACTCGCGTCGTGCATCAACGCTGCCTGGGCTTTCCACCTTCGAAATTCTTCCTGAGCTTTCTAATATTTTGCTCCCCTTCGCCCTTCTTTAGGTTTAATTTCTTTGGAGCTCGAAGTGTCGATGAAACGATCGTCGATGAGGTAAAGGTGACTTTATTCTCAAATCTAGATAACTTGGAATTCGTGGCAATAGAATGCTGAGAAACATCTCGAGTTGCTGGTAGGTACTAGAAAAAAGGGCTCGAGTGCGAAGGGTTAACACTAAAACTAGCAAGATCGATGCATTTCGGAGATTGTGCCTGTAGAGGGAGAGCGAGAGAGGAGAAAAGGAAGGAAGCGTTTCGTCCTGGGCCCGATAGTGGACTCGTCAGTAAGGCTACGTAGCAGGCCCGTGCCTTGGACGCCAGAATGTTTAGAGGTTGGTCGGGAGCATTGAGCTCTATCCTAACTGGAGTGCGAACTGTGAGATAGAAGCCGGTCCGAGTGGTTCCGGTGGCACTATCCTATAGCAAATTTGTGTGTGGAGGGAGAACAGACACCTCTTTGTTTGCTTTTCGCGGCATTTAGAATTATTTGATGCGTACAAAAATGATAACTCCTGCGTAAGATTCAAACATTCGCGGGTTAGAACGTCCGAATGTTTCCCGCGTTTCGTTTGTTCGAGTGTGGCTGATCGAGTTGCACGCGGGTCTAAGGGGATTTGACGCGCGTATGTTAAAATACAGGTCAAGAAATAATTAAACTAATTTTTTCATTAATTATGAAATCACACTGGGACTATTAGAGTAATATTCAGAAATCCACATAATAATGGGTTTTTCCATAAATATTTTGGATTTTTTTTTTTTTAATTAAACACAATCTATATAGAATATATTTTTATCTTTAATGAAAGTACACATGCTTATAATTAGATGTGAAAGACACGAATGAGAGTAAAAATTGAAACTGTATTGCTCAACAGATTTCTCTAATTCTTTTAATTAACGATCGTTATCTTATTATATGCGCTAGAATTTCTACAATATTATACTTCAAATAAAATGAGAAGAAACACGCGGACCTCATTCTCAAAGATCTTAATTAATACTGCAACGGAATGCATTACATTTTGACTATAACAATACGTATAACAATATGTCTGAGATAGGTTTAATAAAACATATATTTTAATAAGAAATGCGTAAATCGGTAATTGCTGAACAGAACGCAATATAGCAGTGAATTTAATTACAAATTTATAACAAACTGACGTCTGCCTGCACATTGTTAAACTTTCTGTTTGAGAAACATTGCATCTAATTAATGAAACAATTCATGCATGCACAATAATGTACGGCATCGTAAGCATTTATTACATTTTCCCTGGCAAATTAACGTCCAAGGCAAATATTGATATTAACAGATAATAGAAGTACGATGTTGAAATATTCATTTTCGAAAATCAAAAATTACTCTTCGTCAATCAATTAATTAATCTAATCGATTCCATATTTTCAATCATAAATTGACAAGAGTGTCGATGAGCATCACTGCTTACATTCTTCATAAATTGCTTACAAGACCCAATATATTCATTAGATAAAACAAAATATTGAGAAATATTCGCAAATTAAGAAATCCATATTATCTACCCATGTAACGCCGTATAATTCTCATCATCAGAGAGTTTTACGAAGACTTAATAAAAAAAAAAAAAAAATCAAGCACAAACGAAATACTATAATTCTCTATAAAAGAAAATTAATTTTTGAAAAGTCGTGTGCCAGGTTCACATAGCTCCGAGTACAACATTTTCTCCAAACGTGGCCCACTTTCGTCTAAACCAAGAAAACTGCAGAAATTCCACAAAAATTTCTTTAACTAAAAAATAAAATCCCAAAGCTCTTTTTACATCTCTGAATGTTACGCGCAGCACGTTCCACAATTTCGTCGCAGACTGTACACAAGCTTCCACTTTTCTGGAGCGCTGCACGCCCGATCCCCGGAGCCCAAATCGTGAATCCCTCTTCCCACGAGGATCCCCCGTTAACAACAAATTAATTACCTTGCTCGGGACCAGCCTGGACAACCTTCGCCTGCTTTGGCTGGCCATTAAGCGGCGTCTCTTTCCTGAGTGGCGCAGCAACGGGCACGAATCCGTTGGCCATTTGAGGCGCCGCGACGCCAGAGGGGGCCAATCCCTGTACAGCGGCGTTGGCGCGATCCTCCGTGTAAAGCAGAAAGCACACGGTGGCCCAAACCGCCGTGACCAGGATGGCCACCTTCAGCCACAGGGATCTCCTCCTGGGGAAACCCATTTCTTTTTCTTTTTTTTTTTTTTTTTACGTGTCGTTCCTCCGAATCCTCTTCCTCTCTTTCTCCGTCGCCCCCTGTGTCCTCCCTTTCGAGCACGGTTCGATTAACTTATCGTTTTTCAGCCGGCTCGAGATATCGTGTTACCTCAGCAACATCCTTTTACTTCGATCCTCTGGTCCTCGTCCCTTTGAAATTTCACGCAGTCCTCCGAATATGCAGAACAGCGGCCCCGGTATTTTTTTTCGATCGGGTTTATCGGTTCGGGTTTGCGCGCGGGGCGATCCGGTTACAATGGATTGTCGCGTGTCTCGTTCCCGTCGATCCCGTTCGATCGACACCTGATATCACTTGATCGCGTCTGGATCATCGTTGGACCCACATTTGTCGTGATACGGCTCGGGTCGAGCGACGGGAGATCGATACGTCGAATCGGCTGGTGATTAGCTGTCCGACGAGTGCAACCTCGCGGGGACTTCCTGGTGCTTCGACTCCGAATGATATGAATTGATATGTAGTTTTCCTGATTCGACGACGCCCGCCGGTGTCACCGCATGGCCGCGTCTGGAAAATGAAAAGACGACGGTTAGTATGTAAATAGGAGTTTCACGTGACTCGAAGATGGCTTCCGAGTGAATTATTTTTTTAAGGGATTCCTGAACGAGGCTTCAAGGTTTTGTTTTTCTATAACAAAGTACGTCAGGCGGACAATTGAAGGACATTATCTTTCTCTATTTTAATTGTATTTTAATCGTATTTTAATAAATCTCTATTGTAATTGTATTTAATTTTAATTGTATTCAAGTGTACGTTAGGCGGACACTTGAAGGACATTATCTAACTCTATTTTAATTGTATTTTAATCGTTGTATTTTAATAAATCTCTATTGTAATTGTATTTAATTTGAATTGTATCCAGGTGTACTTTCATTTAACCCATTCACTGCCAACTACGAGATGTCTCGTATTTCAAATTTATTTCAATTACTCAAGGGATAAACTTATAGCCTTTTGAGTCACAAATAATTGCGAAAGAAGATCGTAAGTTTTCTTTTTAAAATAACAAATTTAATATCACTTTTTATTATCGAAATAATAATCTAGATTACACATCTGTATTAAATCTTGGCGCACAAGGCAAAACGCTTTAAATTTGTCCGGCAATGTATAGATTAAAAATGTGTTTCATTGAAAGGAAGAATCCTGAAAACAAATTTGGAAAACCCTTCATTTCCAAGTGTCATGGATGATAACTTAAGTTATAGTAAAATTTCGTTTCTCAATCTCTTAGAGAATCATTAACCGATTTTTCCAACAATTGTCGTGGCCTTTCTCAATGTCCTCGCGACCTTTTACTCGTCTGTGAGATAATAGCGTGAGAAATTTCGGTGAGATGATCGGTCACGCGGTTGTTCGTATTCTCTTAGCGTGTGGAAAGCCGTCCTGACAGTGAGTAACTCTCATTAACTAAACTAAAAGTTAATCAAAGGATGCGTGGACTTGAATCTAGTTAGGAAGAGATTCTTTTTAACACGTTCCTTCTTCAATTTAGGTTCAGTTTAAAAATAGTCTATTAACAATATTATTGAAAACACAAACAAATTTAACTCTTTAATCAAATTAAAATTCGAGGAGTCAAATGATCCCTGAAGACAAACTTGGCAGAAGTTGCCCTAGAATTCATAACAATATTATTACAGCCTACATATTTAATGTTTGCATGTTTAAATCTATCCATTTAAAATAAATATAAATATTAATTCCCAAACAATAGACAATATACGTTTCCAAACAATTATATAGTACTATCTATTAAGAATGCCTGTATTTTTATCGTAAATTTTCTACTCGAGTAATTCGCTTAACTTACGAATAATTTCACAAATGGAGCACTAAACTCTGATTACAGTAAAAATTTGTATCAACCGAGTCATAGACGTAATTTAATCCCGTCACGCCTGAATGCATTTAATAAGAAGGAATTTTTCCATTTACTGCGATTGATAAAATACACTTAAAAACAGCATGCAATTTTCCTTACATCTTAATCTCGCTTAATTAAATTTTCCTTCTTTCTATGAAAGCAAAGCTTGGTACAATTAAGATCCGGATGATGAGAACGCCGTGGACTCTTATTTGAGCTACAGAATTTAATTAACGAAAAAACCGGTGATTTTCATAACTTCCCTT